AGCAGGAATATAAAATCTTAATTAACAGATTTATAATGTCTCATCAGTTATCAGGAATTTATCATCACATGAACAGTTAATGCATTGAAAGACCTAAACTTACCTCTTATTGGTTTTGTAACTATTCCTGTTATGCCACTGACAAAACCCTACCAAGAGAAACAAGAGACATTACAAATACACTTTCAGATTGGTTTTCATTTTTTACATTTTTTCTTATCACTTCTTTGATGAATAGCCTCAGAAGCACATCTGATTGAGTATCCTGAAATTCATTGCAATTTAACAGAAGCAGAAGCTGCTTCACAGTCCTACCTTCTCTTCTACTCTTGTATATTTTTTTCTAGAACTATCATTCAGTTGTGACCATAGGTTTGCAAAACCAGAATTCAAAATGGAGTAACAGCTCTCTAGTGATTAGAGCAGTCTCTATATTTGTTACTCTTGCCTACCTAAAATTCATTAATCTTTTCAAAATGTTCTTTGCCTTACAGAAACTAATCCTTTTCCACCACGAGTGATACCCTCTCTCAGACCAGTGGGTTGTTTATTCATGGCTTCTCTCCTTTTCTGCTGGTAATCCTCATCCATAGTTATTGCAGCTACACCTTTTGCCATAGCACCAGTGATTCTTGATGCAGCACCTGCTAATCCACCTATTGGAAAAACAAAAGTAAGATGCCGATGAAACTTACAGACGCTCACCTATATTGGTTACTATCGAGCATACTACCCTGACTGCTGAAACTTACCAACAGCTCCCCCTACTAGTGCTTTAAGTCCTAGTGCCATTCCTTCTATAAATTCTTCAGGACCCTGGATGGCTCCCTAAGGAAAAAAAAAAAAAAAAGGGACACATTTATGCTATGCTTAAAATCCTACGCATTGCATATTTTTAAATCTTACATTGTTATTGGAATTTACATATATAATGAAGAGAATAAGAGCACAAGACCAAGTGACAAAGTATGAAAGTGCTCACAGGAGCACCTGTTAGAGAAAGAAATACTATTTTAGAATACAAATTAATTTCCTGAAATCTACTTATTTTAAGGCAAAAGGAAAAAAATGACCAGATTTATTTAAAAAAACACACTTAAGGAAAAAATTTGAGTTAAATTAAATGGACTACTCTCTTCTTTTTAACTCACTTTATTTTTCTAGTACCTTTTCCTGGCAATTTCCCTTTAAATTTTCAATTTTAAATCTAAATTTAAAACTTAAAAAATACTTAGATATTAATATTTTCAATATAATTAATAATATCCATATTTTCTAAATAATTCATATCTATCTACTTGTGTTGTATTTTATAAAAAGGCAGTAAAGATTTTTACCTGGTAAGGTTCATAGAAGAATGCTTCTACTCCTTCAGACAAGCCCCTTATGAATCCAAATGGATTACCCAAGACATCAAGGCCAAGAATAAGAACATACATCTGTTTAATAGCCTAAAATAAAAATAGTTAGCATTAAAAATATTTCAGTAATTACACTAAGCTAAAGGCAAACAGCATGGTGTATCAAGATTTTTTTAAAAAGTGGAAGTAACATAAGTTTAAAATAAAACCCTCAAATTTATATGGAAAAGTAGAAGTATTTGTATTAAAAAAGGATCTTAAAGTGAGTAAATCATAAGTCAGCCAAATAAAGATTACTCCCTACAAGCATTTCAGAAATAACTGGCATTAATGTTTTGGAAACTTTACAAAGCAAGCACATTACCTAAATTTCTCTCATACTATAGGATAAGATTTGGTCTGTTTGCATATGCTAAAACATTTTTTTTCATGATCACTGCAAAATATTGTATCTATAGGAAGTATAATTCTATTTTTATAAAAAGGTTGAGCATCTCCTAGGAGATTTTGAATTTTCCCACTGGGAAAAGAAAGGGTCAGAGAACAACAGATAACTCATTTACCAATTAAAATTCACCGCACAGACTTTTTCTCCTTTAAATACTGTGCATTAAATTAATATATCCAAAGAATTGCTTATTATTAATGATGGATGCACAGAACATGACTAAAGCCTTTTAAGCAAAAAGGGTGTCTGCTGGATTGTCTCCACTGGATGACAGGACCTGAACAGTACACAAAGTCCAAAGAGAGATCATAATTCATATAATGTCAAAGAAAAAATGATTAATATTTTTATGCCAATTCTGCTCTATCAGAACTGCACTGAGTTTGCTTTCACTATCCATTCCAGCAAATTGTTTTGTTACCCATGCCACATTTTGTCTAGTCATAATTTGGAAACAGCACTTGCTCCCAAAATAAAGGCAACAGGACTCAGCTAATGAATAATTGTTTTGTATATGTTTATGTATTTAACCATTGTACAAACACACAAGCATTTTTTTTTCACAGAACCAAAGCACACAGTAGTGGTTTCAAAATATAAATTTAAATTTACTTATTCTAACCTGTTTTGAATAATGCCTTATAACTGCTGATTGGAGCTGTTGTGTAGTACAGAAGTGATAGCTGAGTTCAAAAAATGCCAACCTAAAAAAAAAAAGGAGGAAAAAGTTAAGAGTTAAGTCCTTATTATCACAGTCATAGAATGGTTTGGGTTGGCAGGAATCCTATAGATCATCCACTTCCAAACCCCTTGCCATGGGCAGAGAGACCTCCCACTAGACCAGGTTGCTCAAAGTCCCATCCAGCCTGGCCTTGAACACCTCCAGGCAGGGGGCTACCAGAGATTCTCTGGGCAATCTGTGCCAGTTCTCACCATCCTCACAGAAAAGAATTTCTTCCTAATATCTAATCTAAAACTACTCTCTCCCTAACACTACACACCTTGACAAAGAGTTCCTCCCCTTCTTTCCTGTAGGCTCACTTTGAGTACTGGAAGGCTTCTATAAGGTCTTCCTTGAGCCTTCTCTGCTCCAAGCTGAACAACCCCAACTCTCTCAGCCTGTCCTCACAGGTGCTCCAGCCCTCTGGTTATCTTCCTGGCATTACTCTGGACCTGTTCCAACAGGTCCATGTCCTTTTTGTGTTGGGGGCCTCAGAGCTGATTGCAGTACTGCAGGTGGGATCTCACTGCTGGCCATGCTTCTTTTGATGCAGCCCAGGACACAGGTGGCTTTCTGGGCTGTGAGTGCACATTTTTGGCTAATGTTCAGTTTTCCATCCACCTACACCCCCACATCGTTCTCTGCTGGGCTGCTCTCAATCCACTCATCCCCCAGCCTGTATTTGTGCTTGGGATTGTCCGGACCCATATTGTGCAGAGCAAAAGGCACGTAATATTGGTTTAATCTTTGGAAGTAATATCTGCAATCATATTTTTCACCTACTTGAAGACAACATCTTGTACATCTGTGAGGGTGGCTCCTATACTCTGTAGCAGGAGATTTAAGGACTGAAGTGGTATCAATTCATTCTTTCTTTCTTCTTTGTTACTATCTTCTCCACCCGTACTGACTGAAAAGCTTAGGTGCAACTAAAGAATGGAAATGAGATTAGGAAATAACATAGTTGGTTATTGGAAGTATTATATTTCTATATTTATAATAATTTAGATGACTTTAAAATTAAGACATTTCTAATGTTGATTGAAATCAGACTGCCTTCATAACAGAGAACATAAATACATCACATAAAGCAATAAAAAACCACTGACATTTAAAGGCAAACTGAATAACCGAAACTACCTTTTGCTTGAAATTGCTTACTCATGTTTTCAGATAAGGTCTCCAGAACCTTTTAGCTACAGTTAAACTTATTAGCTTGCTGAAAAAAAATTTGTTTCTGTAACTAATACCCAAAATCAAGGAGACTGAAAATAACATAGCATGGTGTCCAAGCAGGAATAAAAACCAAAGGCCTGAAAACAAATAATTATTAACACAAGTTTCACAGGTGCTAAACAAACAGGGGAACAGGTATACAAGAAAAACCTGACCTGTGCAGACCTGAATTAACTAAAGTATTTGTTTCACAGAAATTAAGGTGACAGTCTCAAAAGAAAATCATTCAGGAAAATTATTCAAAGGCTCTATAGTGCAAAAGTGCATTCAACAGTTTTCAAAATTAGATGAAAGGAAGCTATGTGTGTTTCTGATTCTCTGAAGGCAACATCATGTGCAATTCATTTATTTATGGTATAACAGAGCTTAATCAGAGCTTGTGTCAAAGATAGATAGCTTGTCTTGCGGAATGATTGTCACTTAAATCACAAATTTCATAACTGTCAAAGACTAATCTTTTACAAAATCTGAAGCCCATTTATTCTATTCTATCTTCTCCATGTCATTTTTCTTGTCAAATATGACAGAAAACATTCAAAAATAAGCTTTTGTTTACCTAACAAAGTGATCACTCTGTTATCTTAACATGTAAAGGGCATTTTATTCTTGTCAAGTCCTCAGCAGTTTTTGTAATCAAAAAAGTGGAGACATACTTAACGACCAACTAAATATACTTGGAATGTGTTAGCCTGAGATGTTTTTATAAAGCTAACCAAGCATTTCTTGGAATGATGTGTTTTAATAGCAGACTGTTTCTAACATCCCACCAAATACTGTAAAGAGGTGAAACTCAAACCATTCTTTGATCTATTGCCCATGGGATGGATGGGAGATTCTCTTAGTGACAACTTTACAGAGCCTTCAAAATACCATCACTGCTTTAACAGTGGCAGCTATGCAATAATTGCAAAACGAAGTCTAGTAAGCTAAAAATGCACAAGCGTTAGATTTGGGTGAACAGGATGTTGTTTCCATGCAAGTATACACATAGTATTCAACAGCTGAATGTGGGGAATGCGAATGGGGAAATAGCCAAAAGTAGAGTTTTCTGGAGTCAAATAAAACCCAAAAGCTGTTCTTCCAGTGAGTAAGTCACAGTAAAACAGAAAATGCCATTGCACAGTAATGCTGGCTATCTATGTTTTTGAGAAACGACTCATCCCCAATCCACAACACAATGTCTGCACTCAAACTAAAGTATTTTTCAAGGATCTCTTAATATAAAGAATTACCATCTATGAAGAAACTCATAGAAACAATCAAATAATGAACTCATAGAAAGGATGAATAAATAAATATAATAAAAATGCAAACCCTATATAAGTTACTCGCAACAATGTAAGCATTTTTCTTGGACATTCTTATTTTCAACCACCTCTACATTTCTTCATTTTGAGTGCCTCCTACACTGCAGGAGACAAAAACAGAGAGCAAACACAGGATATACTGTTAAAAAAGTATACCTTAATTGGAGAGATATGAAAATATTCATACAAGCTAATCTGTGATGTATCCATTGATGACACGCTCATCAGTTCTTCTTGAAGAGATTCAACATCCTTTTTGAAAAGTTCTAGCTGTGAAAGTATTTAAAAAAGAATATATTATTTTCAATTTTAGAGTATATAAAACCACCCTACATTTGTTAGAGATGCAATACACTGACTAGCTGTGAGGTATGTTGGAAAGGCAGCTAGCTTTGCTTTTGTTTTCTCATATCTGCACATCAGAGATTAAAAAAGTATTGCTGCCCAGAGATTACAGAAAAAATAAGGAGAAAATACTAAAAGGTTTCTCCAGTGTAAATATAAATTAAAAACTAGAAGGAAGTGTGGAACAGCAGCATGATTTAATTTCTGGAATATCATTTTAAGCAAGATACGAATCTTGTGAGAATTCTGTAAGTTTACAGCAAAAAAACTGATGTAAGATTTGTCTGCTAAGGGTTGTAGTTCAGTAGATACTTTCATATGAGAAAATTTGCTACTCTTGCATGGTATAATGTATTAAATATATTCAGTTTCCTACTTTTATTTCTTTTTCAATACTCTTAAAAAGAACAGCATGCCTATTGCAAATCAGAACTGCATCGTATCGATACAGCTTTGCGCGTTTTTTGGTTTACTTTGGCAAATGCAAGAAACTCTGGTTCCCCTGTTGCTTTGTGGTTTTACCTCAAGTTTTCATTATTACTTTCCAAGCAGACTACCTTGCACTCTATATTATCATATTTTATTTCTACTGTTCTCATGTACAAACTCCTCTCACTCTCCCTGAACAGTAATTCAATTCCCTCCCACCACCCTCTCTTCTCCACTTATTATCAACATGTCAACCGCTATCCTCCAACTGAATAATTATGCATAAAATTATGGAAGAAACTTTCACTTTCTAGTCATCCTTTCTCTTCACTCCTTTTACATGTTCTTGCTCTCAAGTGCAGTTGAGTTTCAGTGATTTCCTGGCCAAGATTTAATTTTTTTAAATAAGCTACACTGAGTTAAACTGTATTATTTTCACTTCCTTCCTGTCTTGGGTTCTTAATTAACTGATTCCTCAGGCATTAGAAGGACCAAAGAGTCTACAACAGCTGTAGTTTATTCTTTTCAGAAGGTTTTGGAGCTTTCTTTGCATAGCATGCAAGACTGAGGGCACAGGAGTTTGTCTACCTTGGGCAACAGTAACTCTGAAAAACCTCACAGCTTCACATTAGTCCCAGACAAAGCAATTAACCAGCTTTATGGACCCAGAAGACTAAGTTGCTCTTTTTTTTTTTTTTTAATATGAGTTGAATAACTCCAAACTTATTAATCTTTAAACAACAGAAGGTTTCTACCTCTTGGTCACTTGGAACATCAGTCTGTGTAAAGAATTCAGACAGAGCATATAGGAAGCCAAGATCTAATCTGAGATCCATCTCTTGAATCAGGACCTTGAAATATCTACATGTGAAACAAAAAATAATTATTAAGGTATTTAACAAAAATGTGTAAGACATTGAACTTAATCCAGGGTGTTTAGGCTAATTATATACTAAATCCAGATTGAGGATTTGTTTGTTCGTTTGGGATTTTTTTAGGGATTAGTCATTACTGTTGAAAAGAAGGTTTCTCATATTGGTGTAAGATAAACACATTTCTTGTATCCAGAACTATTTTAATTAAGTAGCAGCATATAACATTGTATATAGCACTGTTAAACATAAGAGTTTTTTCTAACTAAAAAAGACTACAAACCTGCATTAAAAAGACATTTAAAAATTCCTGGTTTACTCTGCAATTGTGTATATAATAAAGAGTTCTGAGCTTTCATCTAAGTGCTTGGATTTTTTCGAGACCGAGTTGGTGTAAAATTATCTTGCATTATGTTTGCCCATGCCATCATTTGAATTTTAAAGCTTGATTAAAGATGAACAATAAAAAAAGAGATATAAGATGACAAAATACTTACTTAATATGAGATATTTGTGAATGTCCTGCAGTTCTCATGACTATACTGACATCAGTAAATGGTTTTGGTGCTATGAAGTCGTAAAAAAAAGAAAGAAATCAGCATAGATTTTTATGATACACGCATCTTTGTATTTTTAATATGAAAATGTCATATATGTTCAGGATTTTCTCAATTCCATAAAGTTACATAATGGAAACAACTAAGATAGGAAAAAGAGCAGGAACAGAGGGGAATAGGAACACAAGGATGAACTAGGACATCAAATTTCTATTTCACTAATATTTGAAAATGTACCATTTACATTTAAAAGCAAATTAATATTGTTATAACCCTGGATTTATATAATTTCCTTAGTCATGGAATAAGATTTTCCCAAAGCTGATATAAAAACATTAAAAAAAAAAAGAATTCTGCAGATTTATGCACTGTACTTTGAAACTGATCATATTTAGAATGAACACCTGAGATCTTACTAGCTTCTGTACAAGCATATTCTTTGCCTCAATCCAGAACTTCTCCTAAGATAACTCGGGTCTTCCAGGTGACTTTATTGTCAACGAGATAATGGAGGAATGTAGTTCGTAGAACAGTCTACTGACATTGAGCTCTATGCTCCAAGTAATGGAGGAACTCAGAATGCTAAACACAAAACAAGCACAATAAAGTCTGCCACCAACAGAGCTTAAAAATGGTGCCTCAAAAAGCAATTTTGAGTTCAGACTGGCACTTGCACATATTTCTTACTAGTTAAGGTTATTTCTGATAGGTCACTAGGTCGCCTATTGCATGCAAGAAAATAGAAAAATAAGCATGATTAAGATAAACTATATATTTTGGGGCAGCAGGGAAAAGTCAGCTGACTAAAAATTAAAAGTGAACCCCCACCGCCCTGGAACTCCAAATGCAAGTAATATGGAAACAGTCCAATAGATTCACAACCATCAGGATAAGTCACAGTTTGATCTTATGGTCAGCAGTTAATTCTTCTCTCATTTTAGTCAGCATTAAGTTTTAGTTGTGGCCAAAATGCAGTTGCCAAAAGCCGATTTTAAGCTTGATGTAAATGTAAATTTGATGTTATGCTGTCCAAGAGCACTAAACTAGTGTGTCAAAAAGATGTGCTTAAAAGGTATGCTATTGACAAACGAAAGAAATTTTGTTTTCTTCTGATTTGTAACTGTTTAAATAGTTTTCTGTACAACTTTGTAAAGAAAACTGCTTCCCTATTGCTAATATTAGTATTTGTGCTATCTGTTGTCAGTAAGCTTATACAGACTTCATCTGTCAAAAGTGACATGGTCAACTTCAGTACAGCACGTTATCTTGGTATTTTAGAAGCAAGGATTATGTTAAACTAGAACAACAAACCTGAATCCAAGGTGATGGACTTTGGAGGTTTAATAGGATAGAACACAAAGGGAAATATGGCTCCAGGAATCTGGTTTTGTATCTAATAGGGGTAAGGACAGGACAAGGTGCAGCATATTAGCTTTTCAGTAGTGAAGTATTTTAAAATCAGGACAAACACAAGAATAATGAATATTACCTGCATCATTCCACAAATTCAAAAGGATAAAAAAAAAGCTGCTATTGTGATTCAAAATATCTCTAATTTTGAAAATGGAATAATCCAATCCAAATAGTCTAAAAAAGCTTCACTAAGTTGGTGGTAATAAACGGTCCACAGAATTTTTACAAAGCGTTTGCTTTTAAAAACTTGGACATAGGCAAGAGAACAAATTGTACATATTTTTTTGTTGGCTGTAGAGAAAGCTACATGAAAAAGCATGGAAAATGGATGCTAAATGTTCTTCCTGAGCAGTCATAGTTGTCTGTGTTGTTTTTTTTTCCTCAAAAGCATTTAAGTAATATTTCCAAAGACTGAAAAGCATCGATATAAAAGCCAATGAGTACAATTAAATTCAAAGCACAACAAATCCAAAAATTCTAGAAATAAATCCAAGTTTCCATAAAAGTGGCTTTTGCTTCATAAATAACACTGTTTTTGACAGGACTCACCTGCATCCTGTATATTTGAATTCTGAAAGACTTCTGATGTGCAGATGAACTGTATTCTACTTTTAAGGCTGGCAGATAATTCCTTCTGATAGGAATCTCATTCGGTTGTTGAATTTTCATGTTCATTCCATTAGGTGTTAAACATACCTATTGTATTATTAAAGAATATTTGATATGCTATGTGTTTTCAAAAGACTGCTTTTTTATACTTCAGAATTTACACTGTTCATTAACATTGTAAAAATAGCTTAGCAGTAAATGTTTTGCAGCTTCTAAGTCAGATGTCACAACTTTATTTAAAACATCAAATTTTGTCACAGATTTCAAGTAAAACTACAAAATATTGCATTATTTGGTGCATTACTGGCGTTTAGTACCAGGTTTTCCACACAAAAGACAGAGTAGTATAATGTAATAGCCTTCAGCTTAGATAAAACTTGTCTCATTTACCTATGCCATGTTCATTAACCTACAACACTATTCTAATGAGTATTTAGAAATTATCTACATAAAAGGACAGTAGCATTTGGAACACAATGTGCTTTCACACTCTAGAACAATTTCTGGAACTACGTTTTCATATGGATATGGCTGAATGACACATTCAAATTATGCCACAAAGCAGTTGAAAATTACAAGAAAAAAATCCCGAAACTAACACCTTGCCCTTTTCCCCAGTATAACAAGTGAGCCAAATGCAAAGCTTATTTACTGTAGTTTTATGCATATTTATTCCCATGACCAGCAAAAATGTTACACTTCAATTTCCAGGTTAGAAGCTACCAAAAAAGAAGCCCATTGCAAGCTTTCAAATGTTCATGGGTTTTTCTCTGAAGGTATTCTTTCTAGACAGAAATAAAGAAGGGTGAACAGATCAGGTAAATCAATAATCTCAATTTTAACTGGAAGTTTCTTCAAAGAGAGCAATATTAATATATTATCTTCTTCCTGCATATATATGTAAACAATAGAATTAGACAAGTATCAGTATTACCAAAACATTTGACTCCAATTCAACAATCTTGTTTTCGGAAGGAGTTAGCTCACTGTATTCTTTGAACTCTTGCTCTAATTTATCAGTTTGCTTAACACTCATTGGTCTCCATCTTGACTTCTTCTTGGGTTTTGTCTCCCAAACCACATCAGAACTTTGAAAATAAAACAAATGACCAAGAAAGAAGGCTTAGTTATCTCAAAACGAGTTTTACCTACCATAGTATGGCTTTTGAGAAGTTGTAACTACGGAATGAGAAACCACAACACAAAGCATTACTGTAGCAAGTAAAAGTGACCCAAACCACCCACTGTGTTGGTACTAAGTGGAAGCTAATCTCTCCAAAATCATGGGGAAAAAATAAAAAATTAACGGCAACTCTGTATAATTCTCCACTTTGATGAAGATAGCTATTTAAGGACACTTAATCAGAAAGCTTGGTTTCAACCATACTGTCACCCATTATTTTACGATATCAATGTAGTTTTCTCCACATACTCCTCCTGCATGTATGCGCTGCCCAGGGAAGTGGTAGAGTCACTGTCCCTGAGGTGTTTAAGGAGAGGCTGGATGTGGCACTTAGTGCCCTGGTCTGGCTGATGTGGTGGTGTTGGGTCATAGGCTGGACTTGATGATCTCAGAGGTCTTTTCTAGCCTCAACAATTCTGTGATTCTGTATTTTGGAACACCTGAATTTACTAGAAATTGAGAACTTCAAGTCAGGACAAAATGCCTCCTGAACTGTTTCTTTTGATAGCTAGTCTCTTCATTCCTTTTGATAGCTACCTCCTCTTCACTACTGTCTAAATCAATAGTGAGTTCAGTTTAAATCCTTACAGATTTTATAGTTGAGGTTTTGGGGTTTGTCTGTTCTGTTGTTTTGTTTTTGTTTTTTTTTTAATACTATGCCCAAGTCGGTTCTTTTCCTCTGTCTCTTATTTTTATTACTAATACACCAACAAAATTATTAATTGGCCTTAAAGGGCACTGGACTCTTTTCTGCTTAATTCCACTGTTTCTGTGAGAAGCTCTTGTGTCATATTTCACCTTGCAATCAAAAAGTAGGCACATGACAGGGCACAAGCCAACACTATTACGCCAGGCAGAGAGTATTTCTTCTTTCTAAAGTTACTCTATAGCCAACAAACATATACCTTTCCATGGTTTAGCTACATCTGTGCTTGTGTTCAGAAACACCAATGGCAGCACCACCAAACACAGGTGAGTTACAAGGCAAAACAAGAGCTACAAAATGGAAATTACTGGGAGTTTTCTCTCTTCTTCCAACTCTCCTGCCTCCCCACCCAAAATGTGCTGTGAACTGGTATGGTAAAACTTGTTTCTGCATGAATTTAGATACAAGCTGCCTTTCCCATTCTCTTTATAACAATACATTCACAAATGGGAACATTCTAATTAATAGGGTTTTCTTCAACATACCCAAGGAATAATCTCTTATGCTCAGAAAAAGCTTTGACATCCACTCAGGTCTTAAAGAGAAAACAATACAAACTATAACCACTGCTGGACTATTTACTACGGATGACTGCTTCCAAAATACTGATTAATTGAAATCTCAACATCACTTTCAGTCTAGGCCATTGGTTGCCACTTTTCATGCAGTGTTTCTACTGCCTAGACAGTTATCTGATCTCAGTTTCTCAGGTGAGGGCAAAGATTTGGATTTTCTTTGTGGATGACACATGTGAATATGTGAAACATAAATGTATGTGAAGATTTTGCTTGTTTGTTTTGCAATGTGGTGCAAAGAATTAATCAAGAGAAAAATACCTCACTCTAGCAATCTCAAGGCTGTGAATAAAGAGAAGTGTGCTGATTACGGGAAGTGTCCCTTGAGATTCTAAAAAGTCCCTGTTTGGAAATACATTATTTCTTAAGCATCACACAGAGTCTTTTCTGCTTCCCTCCGAAATGTTATACTTTAAAACCTCACATATTAGACCCTTGGAGTCACCATAATTTCTCAATCAAAACTAAAAAGAACTATAAGCCACTACTGCATCAAAATTTTCAATGTAGAATTCAGAATTAATATAAATTAATATAATTAATTAATTATATAAATATTATATATTAATATAATAT